ATGACTATTTTGGAGTACAAGTTTGCGGTGGCGGCGGTTGGAGCGAGTGCGGAGGTTGAGTAGTTGATTGTGGGTAGCACGCTGTTTGTGAATTGAGGGGTTTTATTGTGATTGAACGAAAAAGCGACTTTCAGAAGAGGGTCGCTTTTTTGTTAAATAGGAAATTTTCTGTCTGTGTAAAATGCTCAATAATGCGAGAAATGAATTAACTTTGCAAGTAGTGAATTCAACAACGAAAATAACCATAAAAACTAAAAACATGACAACACTCATCAATAGTAATGATATTTCAACTACTTTATTGTTAATATTATTCACAGTCATCATACCAGAAGTATTAAGTGGGTGGTTGGGATTTTTAGCAGGGTTTGCTGGTTTTGTTTTATTACTGCTTAAAATTTATGACCTCTGGTTAGATATTCAAGAAAAGCGAAAAAAGAGAAAGTAAAACTTTTCCTTTGTAGCGTTTCATTATCTTGAAAGAACTCGTTCTTCAAAAAATTACTTAAATCCAAGCGACTTCGTGCGAGGTCGCTTTTTTTGTTGGTAAAGAAAAAATTTAACAAATACGAATTAGGTGATTTTTGCTCACGATTTAAGCGTTAAAATTTAACTTCACTTTCACTATTAAACTTTTAACCATTCAGTTATGAAACTACTTTCAATAGGCATTCAAGATTTTGAAACATTACGAAAATCCAATAGAGTTTATGTTGATAAAACAGATTTGATCTTTAAGTTGATGCTCAATGAAGGAGTGTACTTTCTTTCACGACCGCGCCGCTTTGGAAAATCGCTCTTGCTTTCTACAATGGAAATGCTCGCTTTGGGCAGAAAAGATTTGTTCAAAGACTTGTGGATTGAAGACAAATGGGATTGGACAAGGAAATATCCTGTGATTAGAATTTCATTTACACAGGTTGCATACCAAACAAACGGTTTAGAATTTGGTATTAAAGAAACACTTTTAGATTTATTTAGTTTGAATAATTTACACCCAAAACGAACAGACGATATAAAAATTTTATTTAACCAATTATTAAAAGAAGTTCATGCAAAACACGGCAAAATCGTTCTGCTCATTGACGAATACGACAATCCCATCATTGACTTCTTAGAAGAAAAGCATATTGAAACCGCAACAGAAAATCAAGCCATCATGAAAAATTTTTATTCATGCTTGAAAGATAACGGGCATTTCATTCACACGCTTTTAATTACCGGCATTTCAAAGTTTCCTCGCGTTTCCATTTTTTCAGAACTCAACCACTTAACCGATTTAACCCTGCATCCCAATTACGTTAATTTATTAGGTTACACGCAAGAGGAGTTAGAAAAGTACTTTGACGAACATCTTGATTTTTATCTCACAAAACATAACAACCAAACAAACCAAGGGCAATTAGATAACATTAGATTGTGGTACAATGGCTTTTCTTGGGACGGAGAAAACAGAGTTTACAACCCGTTCAGCATTTTGAATTTCTTTGACACGAATCAATTTGCCAATTATTGGTTTGTAAGCGGAACGCCCACATTCCTATTGCGACTTATGTTTGAAAAGAAAAATTACGAATTTGAAAACGTCAGTTTTAACGTCAACAGCAATAACATTTATGACATTCATAAGTTAGAACTCATTCCGATTCTTTTTCAAACGGGGTATTTAACGATTGTTGAAGCAAAGGACAATCCATTTAGTGAAATGAAAGATTATGTTCTTAATTATCCAAATAAAGAAGTGCGAGATAGTTTTTATGATTTTATCATCAATTCAATTTGTTTTACCGATGGAGCTGATAAAAAATTTATTGAAAGAATATCGCATGGCTTCATTGAAAATAATTTAGACGAGGTGGAAGAGGTGATTGATGAAATGCTCAAAGATGTTCCAAGCGATTTTTATGTCAAACAAGAAGTGGTGTTGCATTGTTTGCTTCATATTGTTTTTACTTATGTTGGGTTGCAAATTCAAAGTGAGGTGCATACGCAAAAAGGCAGATTAGATGCCATTGTGGAAACAAAATCGCATGTTTATATTTTTGAATTTAAGATAAACAAGACTGTGAACGAAGCAATCAAACAAATTCGTCAAAAAGAATACGGCTTAAAATATGCCAAAACCAAAAAGCAACTCATCGGCATTGGTGCAAACTATTCAACGAAGAAACGATGTTTTGATAAGTGGAAACGGATTGTGATTATCAAATAAAATTTTCCTACTCATTCCAACCAAACATTTTATCTTTGCACTATTATTTAGTAGACTTTTAACAAAAATTTAAACATTGAATATTATGTTACAAAATAATTTCGTATCGGCAAGTGTAAGTTCTTACAACACACAACACACAACACACAACACACAACACACAACACGAGGCTTAAGCGACTCGTTCTCGTCCCACTTCTTCTTGCACTAACCTTCTTTGCAGGTGAATGCCCCTCACCCAATCCAACCTACACCGTAACACTCAACGCGAACACAGGCATTGACGGTACAACAAAAACCATCCCTGTTGAATCAGGTAAAACCGTTCCCATAACGACAACGGGCTTACCTACAAAAGAAAACTATGGCTTAGGAGGATGGAACACCGAAGCTAACGGAAGCGGAACAAAGTTTGTTTTTGGCGAAACGCCTGTTATAGCAGATATTACAATTTATGCACAATGGACACAAAACAAACCCGACACTCCAAAAAACTTAACCGCAAAGGTTGTGAATGCTACAGAAATTGATATTTCTTGGACTGCAACTGCAAACACACTGAAATACAACCTTTTTGACGGCACTACGCAAATCGGCGGCGACATCACAGGAACATCTTTTTCGCATAAGGGGCTTGGTATTGCCACGACACATACCTACACCATTAAAGCCTGCAACGGAGTTGGATGTTCCGAATTGAGTGCTGCTGTATCTGCCACTACGCAAGACCTAAGCATCACTGTAAACGAAATCAAAAACACGGGAGACATTCGCCCCTACTACGCTGTTTTCAACATTAAAGCCAATGGTATTTTCAATGATTATACTCTTGCCCTTAAAGAAGGTGCAACTCCCACAACTCCTACCGCAGCAGAAATGACAACAGGATTGGTGTATAAAAGAAACCTTAGCGAAACAGCCATCAATATCTATGCTTGGGGTGCAATTGGATCAACCTTTCCCACTACGGCTATTACAAACGCACAAGTTAAAGACATAATCCTAAAGCCTAATACAACCTACTCACTGTATGGAATGCCCAAAGGAAGCACCATTGTTTCTAAACTAAAAACCTTTACTACTGATGCAGTGCCAAAAAGCCGTTCAGATGTTGACATCGTGTATGATGCTTCAATTTATTCTAACGCTGTCAAAACTGTTAAAAACTTTACCTTTCGTAAAGGGGAAGCTGTATGTTGGGTATTGTCTGCCAATATTTCTGTTGCTTTATTTTTTGCTAATAATAGTAATAATGCGATTCTAAACGATGTTTTGCCCGATGGCAGCCTTACTGCAACTTCTTCTGGCACATATTTTTATGGTACAGAACAGATAATGTTTGGTTGGATAAATATTTTCTATGTTAATTCTAAACTAAATAGCCAATCGGTTGATTATTTTGTAAGAGAAATACAGTATAATAGTCAGATTAAATATTTTGGTTGGATAATTGAAAATGATGACAAAACAACTATTCCTGTTATTACCAAGCAGCCATCGCCACCAAGCCTTACAGTAAAAGAAAATGCAAGTGCCACTTTTAACTTTGAAGCAACCGTAAATGATGGTCCAATAGAATTTCAATGGCAAAAAGCCGAAAGTGATAACCCAACAGTTTTTAAGAATCTTTTCAGAGCGACTTACGAGGCTGGAGTATTAGGTCCGTACACTTTTGATGCGACAGCTGCGGATAATGGAGATTTATATCGAGTTGTTTTATCTAACACTGCGGGGTCTGTTACAAGCGATGTTGCAATCTTAAAAGTAATTTGGCCACCAACCATTACTTCACAACCTGTGAATAAATCTATTGGAATAAACACCACGGCTACCTTTACTGTCGCTGCCACTGCGAATAATGGAACGCTAAGTTATCAATGGCAAAAAGCGGAAAGTACAGCACCTACTACATTCACTGACATTGCTGGTGCAACGGGAGTAAGTTACACAACCCCAAATGCCACAGCTTCTGAAGATCTTGATGTTTTTAGAGTTAAAGTAACTAACGAATCTGGAAGCACTACAAGCAATTCGGCTTTTTTATTGGTTGCATCAAACGCTCCCACGATTACTACACACCCAGCGGACGTTACGCTTTTAAGTCGTCCAGATAATGTAACATTTTCTGTAAGCGCAAGTGGAGGTGGGCTAACTTACCAATGGCAACAAGCATTGGCTTCCTCATCAAGTGTTTTCGTCAATATTGGCGGCGCAACAGCTACTTCTTATACAAAATTTGCGGGAGATGTAGATAGAGGTACCAAGTATCGTGTTATAATTACCAATGCTTTAGGTTCAGTAACAAGCAATGCTGCGACTTTGAGTATACCGTAACGTTTATTACAAACGAGGCGAGATATGCTATTTATCAGCAGAAATACATTTACAGACCAAGCAAGCGTGTTTGGTCTTTTTTTTGTGCAATTCCAAGTGGAATTGGAGCAATAACAGGTGGAATTGGAGCAATAACAAGTGATATTGGGGTAATGTCGATTGACAATGGGGCAATGGGAAGTCCCAACGTGGTAATGGGAAGTCCCAATGAGGTAATGGGAAGTCCCAATGAGGTAATGGGAAGTCCCAATGAGGTAATGGGAAGTCCCAATGGGGCAATGGGAAGTCCCAACGTGGTAATGGGAAGTCCCAATGAGGTAATGGGAAGTCCCAACGTGGTAATGGGAAGTCCCAATGAGGTAATGGGAAGTCCCAATGAGGTAATGGGAAGTCCCAATGAGGTAATGAGGCATTAATAAAGGGTCTTTTATTTAGGTAAAAAGTTAGTTTGTGGCGGAGAGAGAGGGATTCGAACCCTCGAGAGTTTTTACACTCTACGCGCTTTCCAGGCGCGCGCACTAGGCCAACTATGCGATCTCTCCTTCTTTAGATTGTAGGTGCGATGATTCTGATATGCCGTTTTATTGAACTACTACAGTTCAGGGCAAAAATAATAATCCTTTTTAGTTTTACCGCAACTTTGAGATGATATAAGAGAATTTAGTTTAGAACTCTTTTAGATTTTGTTACACCGTTTTCAAATTCGTAAATAATCGGAATACCATTGGCGATGTTAAGTTCTAAAACCTCCTTTTTTGTGAGTTTATCAAGTTCCATAACGATGGCTCTTAAGCTGTTACCATGTGCGGATATAAGAATGTTTTTTCCATTAACAAGGTGTGGCAAAATATGTTTATTAAAATAGGGAATGGTTCTTGCGGCTGTATCTTTGAGGCTTTCGGACCGTCCGTCGGGATTAAATTCCGTGATTTGATTTGGTGGTTGAATATCATAACTTCTGCGCCAAATTTTTACTTGTGCTTCTCCGTACTTTTTTATGGTTTCAGCTTTGTTTAATCCTTGTAGAGCGCCGTAATGTCTTTCGTTAAGATCTTTATGGGATTCAATGGGAACGTTTGGTTGCAATGCTTCTTCCAAAACAATGCGGAGCGTTTCTTTTGCTCTAATGAGTACGGATGTGAAAGCAATGTCAATCTTAATATCCGAGATTTTTTTACCTGCATTTTTTGCTTCCATTTCCCCCCTTTTTGTGAGCGGTACGTCTATCCAACCCGTAAAACGATTTTCTAAATTCCATGTTGATTCGCCGTGCCTTATTAAAATTAATTTTGATGAATTCATTTTTATAAAATGGTTATGTTACTAATTTGATTCAAATGATAATTCTTTTTTGAGTTCTTCTATTTCGCGATTAATGGATTGAGACTCTTTTAACTTATCCTCTACTGTATTGTATGCGTGTATTACTGTGGAATGATCGCGACCGCCTAATTGCAATCCAATAGTTTTGAGGGAGACGGAGGTCAATGTTTTCATAAGATACATAGCAATTTGGCGAGCATGAGCAATGTCCTGTCGCCGTGATTTTCCTCTCAGGTCGTTCGTTGAAATTTTGTAGTATTTACAAACTATCTTTTCTATGGATGCTGTAGAAACAATCAATTCTTTTTTTCGGATAAAATCTCTCAAAATCTCTTTGCTTGTTTCTAAGTTAATTTTCTGTCGCTCAATTGAGGCACTTGCAAGTAACCTGATAATGCACCCTTCTAATTCCCGAACGTTGGTATCTACATTTTTTGCAATAAATGAGATGATTTCATCGGAAATAATAGATTCATTAATGTACATGTTGTCGCGTTTTTTGTACAATATGGCGAGGCGGGTTTCATAATCAGGTACTTGTAGGTCTGCCGTTAAACCCCATTGAAATCTTGAAAGCAGTCTTTCTTCTATCCCACGTAAGTCCTTAATTGGCTTGTCGCAAGAGAGTACGATTTGCTTGTTTTGCTGATGGAGAGCATTAAAAATATGAAATAGTTCTTCTTGGGTTTATTCTTTGCCTGCAAAGAACTGTATGTCATCTATAATGAGCAAATCTATTTTTCGAAAAAATGAGGAAAACTCGTTCATTCTGCGTTCTTGGATTGCGCTTACCATTTCGATAGTGAATTTTTCACTTGATACATAAACAACAAAATTGACTTTTTTGTGTTCCAATGAATAATTTCCTATTGCTTGTGCAAGGTGTGTTTTTCCGAGTCCTACATTTCCATAAACGACAAGCGGATTATATGAGTTTGAACCAGGATTTTCACTTACTGCATGTGCAGCTGCAAGTGCGACATCGTTGCAAGACCCTTTAATTAAATTTTCAAACGTATATTTTGGATTTAATTGAGTTTGAAATTTAGCAGCTTGTTTCTTAAAAGACTCTAATTCCTGTTGTGTTATTGCACTATTTGTAATCCTGTTCAAATTAATTAGTTTTTCGGGCGGTTCTTGAACAAACCCTGTTGCTACGGTAGGCGCAAATGAATCTTCATTCTCGATCACTACAGAATACTTTAGCTTCACGTTACTCCCTATAACCGCAATAATTGTGCTTTTAATTAGTGAGTAATAGTTTTCGTCTAACCATTCATAAAAAAACTGACTTGGAACTTGAACTGTAAGTTCATGATTCGATAATTTAATGGGGATAATGGGCTTAAACCACGTTATGAAACTTTGCGGCGTTATTTCCGACTCGATAAGTCTAAGGCACTCACTCCAAATTTCCTTTACAGACGACATACTTAATTCGTTCTTATCTTTACTCTCTGCTGTATCCATATTTTTACCTATCTACAATAGTAGAAATTAAACTGTAAACAAAAACTACGAACAAAGTTACAACGTCATTTTTCTTTATCCACATTTTAAATGTTTTTTATTAAAAATTGTAATAAATCATTTTATTGAAGTTCGAAGTTATCAACGCAAGTATCAACTTTGTAAACCAAATAAAATCAATAAGTTATTAGAAGAATTAAGTATTTTATTAACATGGGAACTTTTTATTAACATTTTGCTATACTCTTTATTGTAATAAATCCACAGTTTTCTCACGTTATTCACATACGGTGTTGATAACTTTTGTTATAAACCCTGGAAAGTTCTAACCCCAAAATCGCTTTCGCTCACTAAAATGGGAATAAGAAACTTAGTTATGAAAAGGAATGATGCTTTTCATTTCCTTATTCCTCTTTCTATTAATGTATACTGAAATGAAAATACTTATTTCATAAAGCACCAATAGGGGCACTGCAATTAAACCCATAGAAAAAGCGTCAGTGGACGGTGTGATTATAGCTGAAATGATAAGGTTAATAATAATTGCATAGCGTCTAAACGAACGCATAAATGTGGGTGTGAGCATGCCTATTTTAGAAAGAATGTACGTAGCAAAAGGAAGTTCAAACATAATCCCTGCCGTAAGCGTGGTTCCAAGAAAAAAACTTACATATTCATTTACCGCAATAGCATTTACGATGTGAGGCGACCCAAATGATTGAAAAAATTCCAATGAAAATGGAAGCATAACGAAGTACCCGAAGCTAATTCCTGCGAAAAAGCAGACCGAAAGAAAAAGCACAATAAATCGGGTTCCCCCCTTTTCATTTGGAGTTAGACCAGGTTCAACAAATTTCCATAGCTGATAAGCAAAAACAGGAAAAGAAATTGTTAATCCCATAAATAAAACAGTCTGAAAATAAAGGGTAAGTTGTCCGTAGGGGACTAAGTTTTGTAGTTTTATATCTGGATTAGAAAGCAGCAACGGACGAAGCAAAACCTCATCTACAATAAAATCTGCGTGAGAGCCTATAATCACCATAATTGCGAATGAAAACAACAAAGCCCTAATAATTCGTTGGCGAAGTTCGTCTAAATGTTCCAAAAGTGACCCGTCATTGCTCTTACTTGTTCTAAATTTTAATAAGTTCATTTTTACGTTTTTAGTTAGTAAAAATACATGCTCGCACACAACAACAGCATTGAATTTTAGAAATTTTAAATTACTTACAACAAACCCCGCATATTTTGTTTTCCAAAAAGCAGGTTAAGACGCATTTTCATAAGGGACGGTGTGTGAATGTGTGTAAAATTGCGGTACATGAGATGAAATAACGTTTTATATTTTTAGGAAATAGCTTTGTCATTTAGTTTTAGGTTATTCTGGTGTTAAAAACCATTCCGAAACATGTCGCAAATTAACGAGAAACATGGACAGAATCATTCGTCTTTTGAAAGATATTCGTAAAAGGAATTATTTGAACATTCACTACCAAAATAAGTACGCCTTTGTTGGAATTGGCAGCCACAGTATAAACAATTTGTATCCCGTTCTGCATTATTTAAGGGTTCCTTTGAAATATATTGTGGTAAATAGTAAAAAAAATGCAGTGCTAATAGAGAGACATTTTGACGGTGTTGAAGGTACGAATGATTTTCAAAAGGTATTGTGCGACCCTGAAATCCGAGGCATTATTATTTGTTCCGATCCGCAAAGCCATTTTGGATTGATAAAAAAGTCGTTAGAGAACAATAAGCATGTTTTTGTGGAAAAGCCTCCTTGTTCGAGCGAGAACGAATTGTTAGAACTCATTCATTGTGAAAAGGAAAGTAAAGGTTTTTGTGTGGTTGGGATGCAAAGAAGATACGCCCCACTTATTGATGCCTTAAAGAAGATAAATTTTAATGACCTTATATCATATAATTACAAGTTTAGGGTTGGGGCTTATCCCGAAGGAGATGAGGTTTTAGAGATCTTTATTCATCCACTTGATTTAATTTCGTATCTATTCGGCAAATGTACTATTGTATCTATTCAGATAGTTCATAAGGGCACCTATCTTATACATCTGTTGCATGACGGATGTGTTGGCAATATAGAATTATCAACACATTACACGTGGAGGAACGCAGAAGAGGAATTGACAATGAATACATTTTCTGGGATTTATAGAATGAAAAATATGAGTGAGCTTACGTTTGAAAAAAAACCTAATGTCTTATTTTCCATCCCGCTCGAAAAAATAAAGAAGTTTGACGAGTGCGTGCAAGTTATTTACAACGGGAATCAGTTTAGCCCAATACTTGAAAACAATCAACTGTATTCAGCAGGCTACTATAATGAATTAAAAACATTTATTGATCTATGCGAAGGTAGAGACAGGAAAAACAAATCTATGCTGTCGGATATGATAGCCACGTTTAAGTTAGTATATTCATTAAAACAGAACTAATAAAGCAAAACATGTACGGAACAATTGATTATCTAAGAAGGGGGCTACGTTTTGTAAATAATACATTACGACCGAGTAAAAAAACACTTTCTACCCTCATGCTTTATGCAACAGATTCTTGCGATTCGGGCTGTAAGCATTGTCTTATTTGGGCAAAAAGGCCAGTAAAACATATACCCTTAGAAAAGATTATTGAAATAATGAAAAGCAAGTGTGTTAATAAATACACGACGGTTGGATTAGAGGGCGGAGAGTTTTTATTGCATCCTGAAGCATTTGACGTTTTAAGTTGGTTT